ACTTTTTTTAAAGAGTAACGAATGTAGTTTCTTGCTCATTCTTCTCCATTCGAATCTACATTTTGGAATCAGCACCCAGCTTCACTGACGAACTGACTGACTGAAACTATTATAATTTGTATTTGTTAACGTTTCAAAAGTACCAAATTATGGTTTAATTGAAATAAATGCTTTGACTTTGACGCTAGTGTGAACCTCTTGTTCTTCGTCCTATAGGGATTTAAGTAGTGTCACGTCATATGACATTCAATATTAGACATCTTGAATGATTAGACAAAACATCCTCTTGTTAGATTTACGTCATTTGACAAACAACGTTACCCTCATTGAGTTGGTTTTCAAATAATTATGGGCTCCGTTCGTAGCTCGAAACTAATCAAGTTACCTCGATAAACAGTTATGTAAATAAATCGTTTATTAATTAATTTAATATCTATAAAATCTCACAATAGATTATAATACAAACATTTTAATATTAACATATCTAATAATATCTTAAAATTAAAAATATACTAAGGATATGACTAATTTCTTAAACTTAAATAAATACAATATTTTACTTACGTATATGTGTTTTCTATTAAATATAATATTTTATCTACATTTTCTTTTTTTTTCAGACATAGCTACATGCTTTTTATTCCCAAAAGGGGTAGACAGAGGTGCACATATGCGATGTAACACCCACTTTTCACTATTCATGTTATGAGTCCCATGTAATATGTTATTAATTTACGTTTTACATTGGTTTGTGTGTCCGTCAATCAAACTGAAACTACTGAACTGGATAATGATGAAATCTGGTATACAGGCAGGGTATGGGCTGACTTAGGTGTCAGAACTTTTTATCCCGAACAAATGCTCCAAGGAGATAAAACAGGAATCATATTCTACGCGGACGAATTCGCGAGCAACAGCTAGTAACATTTAACTCAAAAAGTATGTAAGTATTTGACACTTAACTCTTTGAGTACCGTCATTATAGACACAATTAAAGAACAATTTATTTTTAAACTGTCAAACACCAAGAGGTCACCGGTGACCGCAACCTATTGTTCTTTAATTGTGTCTATAAATACGGTACTCGACGAGTTAAAGGGGGGAAAATCATCGAATGACTGCTCCCGCCTGGGTGTGGCGGGAGGGAGTGTCAGACTCTTACTGACTGTAAACCACCCCGTTCCTTCTCCTGCACGTCGAGCCGGAGCCCCGGTTACCCGTTAGGTTCTCCGCGACTATTAAAGAACAATAGGTTGCGGTCACCGGTGTCCTCGCGGTATTTGACAGTTTAAAATAAATAGATTTGATAGATTTTATTTTCATTTATTTAGCTTTGAGCCGCGGCCTTGATCGGGTATTCCTGGTATGTAATGGGAGCATTTATCGTGACAAAAAAGTATCGTATCACCGAAGTCAGCCTATACCCTGCCTATATACCATCAAGATCCGTTCAGTAATTTCAGCGTGGTTGACGGACAAACATATAAACAAAGAAACTTTCATATTTATAATATTAATGTGATTTTATGTTGTTGTATCGATGGCCTGTTTAAAATATTGAAACATTATATACACACGGGTGGAATATGCGCGTATTATACATATAAACATTCCTTAAGAATCACTCTATCTATTAAAAAAAACCTGCATCAAAATCCGTTGCGTAGTTTTAAAGATCTAAGCATACATAGGGACAGACAGACGGCGGATAGCGACTTTGTTTTATACTATGACTCCGTTCCTTGACTTCCTGTGTGTTTATTACTGATTTTTCCTAAAATTATGATGACAAATGTTCGAAGTATCAATTAATTGTTCCACATAGGAATTTAACTTCCTGCTTCAAGTTCATTTTAGGTATATTCGTAATAGAGATTTAGTTAGTTCACTGAAATTACAATTTTTATATGAAAAATTGTATTAGTAGAATGATAAAAAATTTTTTTCCATAAAATTGATCAGTAACCCCCATCCCTCCTCCCCCACATCAATGCAAAGGGGTTAATCATTTTTATATTGACTTCAGACAGATATCGTTTTTAATCTTCGTTTATACATATATTCGAAAAGGGGTAAGCAGAGACGCTTTCGCCAGTTAATGTTATGAATGTCGTGTATTGTAATGTAATGACAGTCTGTTTGTTATCAAAACACTGGACTTATTACTAGAAACTGTTTTTTTTTAATTTAGGGATTTTTAACCGACTTCAAACAAAAGGAGGTCCTCTAAGAAGGCTTTATTATTATTATTTTAGCCAATTAAGGAGTCGAACTCCTGACCATTCGACCAACAAAGACAGTTTTATAAAAAATAACTCCTTAAAAACTAAATTTTTAATAAAAGAAATCACAATAATGATACATACAATTGAGATTTTTTAATAAGTTTTTTAATAATAAGTATTTTTATATTATATAAAGAATAAAATAGTCGTTGAAAGCAGTCTTATGTACCTTTTGAAGATCTATTAACTAAATATTAAATACAAATATTAATGTATTTTCATCCCAAAGGGGGTAGACAGGGGCACAAGGGGACTATCGTATTTTTGCTCACCACATGACGCTACTGTGAACCTTTTGTTATTCGTCCAATACTTCGGTATATCTTTTTTTCAAGGGGGGAAAATCATGGAGGGAGTGTCAGACGCTTACTGACTAAAAACCACCCCGTTCCTACTCCTGCACGTCGAGCCGGAGCCCCGGTTACCCGTTAGATTCTCTAGCTATACTTCGGTATAGCTAGAATCACATAATCATGTACTTTCCTTAATCAAAAATAAATCATTTCGACTGTTCAATACAATAAAATATTAAAAAACAATCACACTTTCATTAATTGATTTTATGACCAACTTCATTTTAGTATTTTTCCAGCAAATTTTCAATAAATAACTATGCTGTTTATCGCTAAAAAACGTGACGTCACAATACACAATATTGATATTAATATTTGATAGTTCGTGTAGTTAGACAAGAAACCCTCTTTATAAATTTGCGCCAATTGGTGAATAAAAACACGTAAGCCCCCTTTGCACATATACAATGCAACACCACTTTTCACCATTATGTTATGAGTCCCATAGACTTGTTACTTTTAAATGCTTTATTTTTATAACATTTCATAAATAAATTATTATGTTTTCGACTTACTCACGTAATAATTTGACGAGGAACTCGACTAGTTTCAAGCCATGCTAGAGGCTCATATATATGAGCAGCATTTCGCGACCGACGCGGCGACTGTCGCGGTACTACTGACTCCTCTAGCATGGCTTGAAACTAGTCGAGTTCCTCGTCAAATTATTACGTGAGTAAGTCGAAAACATAATAATTTATTTAGTATGTCTCACAAAAGTTATAATACAAACATTCCATAATTTACATAGTAAAAATAAATGCATAAATTTTGTGATCCCGAGACCTCTTGGTCGGCAATCGTACTTGCGACTTCATTATCTAAATATTATTGTTGTTATGATAAAACAAAATATGTATAAGTACATACGTTTGATATTTTTACTTAAGTATTTTAAATTCTGAAGATAAGTTATCAAAAATATTTGTTACAATTCTTAAAGCACATGAATTTTATAGTCAGCTTTAGACGACAAACGAAAATTGTACCAATCCACCATAACATCACGCCTTTTATCCCCGAAGGGGTAAGCAGAGGTGCACATTACGGCACTTAATGCCGCTGTACAATGTAACACCCACTTTTCACTATTTATGTTATGAGTCCCATGTAATAGGGGGTGAGTCTATTGCCATATACCGGGCACATTTCCAGACTTCGTGCTACTACTGAGATTTTTAAAAACCCAGTAATACTTTGCCCGACCCTGGAATCGAACTCGAGACCTCTTGACCAGCAGTTGCATTTGTGTCAGTCAGGCAGGCAATCCACCACTGTTAGATTTATGCCGGAATACTGAAACATTACTTAATTTTAAGTCATGCTTAAATATCGTGCCATCTCTGTCATTTCACAAAGAATTAGTGGAGACAGAACTTTAGGGAACAGAGAGTATAGTTCCCTAAGATCGGAAAAGGAGGATCCTCCGACCAGGCGAGGTGATCGTGCCTGGCGGGCTTTCTGCCCAACAGTTGTTCGTTGGGATTTTCTATCCGTGTTTATTCGCTTGTAAACTTTGCATGTGCGATGTAGGATTCTTGTGACGTCATCCGTTGACATGTGGCATGCGTCGCCACAGAACTATACTTAAGCGCGACTTAAAATTGAGCAAAGTTTCAGTATTCGGGCATTATAGACTACAATCGAAAACGTAATTTTTAAAGTACATTTTACTTTGTCGTCTATACCTGACATAAGGTTAACCGTCCTATTAAAATATTTTGACATAGATTGGAGATAGGCCAACGATACTTACAAATACTATGTCCGATAAAAGGGCGGACCCCTACTGACTGTGTACGTAGATAGGGGAATCCCTTTTGTGCCATATATAGCTTCAGGAGCGTTTTCATATTCAACATCGTAGTATATTCCATTTTGGTTCTGAAAAAAGATTTTAGTTAGGTTTAGCTATTTGTATTTGAAAAATAAGAATTATTGTATTCTTGTTTGCTGAAGGGGAGGGCAAGGTGCACATAAACTAGCTTCTGCCGGCGGTTACACTCGCGTTTTTGTTAAAAAGTACCCTATATGTTATTCTAGAACATAATCTCGCCGGGCCGGCTCGACCGGAGTGATACCACGGCCTCACAGAAAACCGACGTGAAGCAACGCTTGCGTTGTGTTTCGTCGTATGAGTGAGGTTACCGGAGGCCCAATTACCCTCCCCTTCCCTAATCTCCCCAATCCTTGAATCCCTAACGATCCTTAAACTCCTAATCCCCAAAAGGCCGGTAACGCACTTGTAACGCCTCTGGTGTTCCAGGTGTCCATGGGCGGTGCTGATTGCTCGTTTACCGGTTTATGCCATAAAAAAATTTAGAAAGATGTGCCCGGGTCGGGCAAAGTACTACTAGTAGATTTAGCGCAGACAACTTACATGCATACTCCTGGCCCTGGATTTGGGTCTAGGTACCAATAGATCAGCTCTCTCCTGCACGTGGGATGATGCTTCAGAACTTGTGGATTCCGTCGCCATGTGGTTCGTGTAGCCTGGTTGAGAAATATTTAAATATTATTATAATTACATCTTTCATTCATTCATTATGACTTCTCCCGCTTTGGGTGAGGCGAGAGGGAGTGTCAGACTCTTATTGACTAAGAACCACCCCGTTCCTACTTCTGCTCGAGCCGGAGCCCCGGCTACCCTTTAAGCCCAGCGACGCCCACGCCTTTTATCCCTTAGATTACGGCACTTAAGGTTACACTAGTCGATATTTTTTCCATAGAAAGTTCGGGGTGGTATTACTCCACAGTGTGAATTTGTATCTCCAAAATTAAACACGACAACGTTTTATCTTGTAATCACATTTGTCGGTACGGAAACAAAAAAAAAATAAAACACACGATTAAAAAGTTATGAGCCACCAAAGTTTTGTTTTTCATGACAATTTTGACGCAACTTTGGGTGTTAAAAAGTACCACTAATCGTGTAAAATCTCCAAAACGTAGACCGTACCGACACAGCACAATTACCAGAGAGTTCTATAAAATTTATTTGAAATTGATCTAAGCAGTGGTTTTTTCAAAAATCGCTTTTTTCTAAAGCACTAAATCGTACTTTTATACGCACTCGTTTTACGATGAATTATCGTGCATTTCATTTGATAAAATTCCCCCGGCAGCGGCGCGGGGCGGAGGGAAGACGCTCAATCGTTTTTGCACAATTTTTTGCACGACAGCGCGTGTCGTGCAAATCATTAGACTATTTTCTATTGTTTTTTGTTTTGGACTTGGTCGACTTAGTCTGCTGCTGTGGCCTACGTGGTTTGTATCGTATGTGTAGACTATTCTCCTTACCCTTATCTTACGACTGGAGCTTTGCGACCGGTGCGGTGGTGTGGTGTCGATAGGTAGGATAGGAGTAGGTCTATACCTACACAAGATGCCCTTTATACGATGACACGATCGTACCCTATTTATTAGGTAGGTAGGTACTAAGGTGTTATTCGCGGTACGTAAGTTGAACAAAAATATAATTGTTAGTTATCAACGAAGCCACGAGTAAGTACCTACCTACCTATATAAAAGCTTGTGTAAGTAAACTGTCCGTAGGTATTATAGTGCGAGGTGTACGATACTTATATTATTTATCGTAAAATCGATATACCTATACTAAACAATGTAAATAAATTGCAGTGTCAGTTTGTACCAAATATTAAAATACCTTCCTACATAGATTTTTTCATACTCACACTGCTATTTGCACGATAAGTAGGTAAAAAAACTACTTATTCCTTTGGACATAGGTACCTACGTATAACAAACAGAAAGACAGATAGACAGAAAAAACAAATAAATAGTTTTTAAACCCATTTTTTATTTATTTGTTTTTGTATACTGTGTACTGCCTCGTTGGCCGAGTGGTCGTAAGTGCGACTGCCGGGCAAGGGGTCTCGGGTTCGATTCCCGGGTCGGGCAAAGTATTACTGGGTTTTTAAATATCCTTAGTAGTAGCACGGAGTCTGGAATTGTGCCCGGTATATGGCAATAGGCTCATCCCCTATTACATGGGACTCATAACATAAATAGTGAAAAGTGGGTGTTACATTGTACAGTGGTATACCTAATGTGCACCTCTGCCTACCCCTTCGGGGATAAAAAGGCGTGATGTTATGTTATGTGTTATGTTATTTTTGTATTTTTCCTATTTATTTTTCCGTCTGTCTGTCTTTCTATTTGTTCAGGTCAATGTTCAATTCGGCTGGACCGAATTGATATTTTACTAGCAGGTACACTACGTTTACGTACCTACGGTATGCTTGTTTAGCCATCCTTCCTAATAATACTTAAGTAATAATAATATTCCACAACTATCACACAACTCTGTAGGTACCTACCCTGTCCAGTCCCAAACTAAGCAGAGCTTGTGTTATGTGTAAGTACCTACTAGACAACAGATATACATACTTAGAGGTATATTTCTAAATATTTACATATTATTATAATTAGATAAAAACACCCAGACAGAAGAAATGATCATGCTTATTATAAATCAAAATTTACCTCTTTAGGCTCTTTATAATAAATTATTGTAGATTACTGCAAGTAGGAATATTGATAATATCAACGGGCAACCGCCAAGCCGAATGTTTTCGCACAAAATACATAGGTACAGAAGTCAATCTCATGTTGCTTCACTGTTTATACCTGCGTGCTCGAGCGCGCTTTGTATGTAGTTATACCATAGAACTAACTAGGTACCTTTATATTTTGTGGCTATCGCGCTCCGTGAGAACTCGATTGGGGTTGTCAACTATACTTTTTATTACGTTTCTTACTTTATTTTTAGCAAGTAAACATACTTTTAGGTAATTACCTACTTTTACGAAAACTAAACAAATACAACAAATATTGTAGGTACCTATTAGGTTTAGTAGGTACATAATTGTACCTACTGTAGGTACATACATACTTATTGTAGGTACATACATAATTATTGGTACTTAGAAAAAAAAGTAACTGCTTAGGGGCCGTTCAAGTATTACGTAAGCAGATTTCTTACCATTTTTTACCCCCCCGCCCCCCTTGTCATAAAAAATAAGCAAAGCACTTACTCCCTCCCCCTATGCTTACGTAAACATTTTTAGTATGTTTTTTTATATTGTTATTTTTAAAATGTGAAAATTCATGGAAATATTAGGTTTAACTGATACACATAGAGTAAATGACAAAAAATATAATCAGAAATAAAGAACATAACTAACATAAAGAATATTTTCGGAACACATTAACAGTCTTCAGTCCATGAAACCTGAATCCATGATTCTAAGTTATCGATGACATTGGATTGCTGCTCAGTGTTGTGAGTCTGCTCATTTTCATCCGATTTTGTCCCAGTATGAGATTTTTTAAAACTTTCGAACAGTTTTTGGTATAACTTGGATTTGTCTATATGATATGACATTCTAATAAGATATTTAAATTTAAATAATTAAAACGTTAAACTTTGGCTAATTGCATCAACATAAACACAAATGATAACTTTCAATCCTTACAATACGTTTAGAATCCAAACAAAACAATACTGATAGATGCGCACTTGCAGCTTGCGGCCGGCACGAGAGCGAATTATTAGACAAGTGAATAGCGCACGGTAATTTCCCTAATGCGCGGTAATTCCCCTAATCAGTTCTCAAAGCGAGTGCCTACGCATATGTATTTTTTGCGGGAATCCCCGAAAAAACTTGAATAACTAACGATGACGTAATCATCATCTAGACCCCCCCACCCCCCATGTCATCCAAAATAAGCAAAACAGAGACCCCCCCACCCCCCCTTGGTGCTTACGTAATACTTGAACGGCCCCTTAGCTACAGAATTACATCCCTAGCCTTTCGTAGATTCTTCGGATATTGTGTTATCAACTTTTCATAAAAAAATTTCAGTAATTACAATGCCCTGTGACAATAATTACTAAAATTCATCCGAGCATCATAAAATCGTAGCAGCGCGTACGACTTTACTACGAGTAAACACACACAGCACAGATATATGCACCGTTCAGTGACGTTTTGCTGTGTTTGTGTGTGTGCGAACAATACGTCGTGCAAATAGATAGCGTCTAACTGCTCATCACTGGTACTATTTCTGTCGCACACGATGTTAGATGAGACAGCGCGCTTTTTGGCCACGCCCTTGATTGAGTTCGAGCCCGCGACTAGTTTAACCTTAATGCCACTGTACAATGTAACACCCACTTTTTCTATTTATGTTATGAGTCCCATGTAATAGGGGGTGAGTCTATTGCCATATACCGGGCACAGTTCCAGACTCCGTACTATTCCTGAGATTTTTAAAAACCCAGTAATACTTTGCCCAAACCGGGAATCAAACCCGAGTCCCCTTGCCCGGCAGTCGCACTTGAGACCACACGGCCAACTAGGCAGTCTAAAGTCTAATAAATAATAATATAATTACCGTATAAATTATGATGCGAGGCGGCAGTGTTGGCTCTGGACGCCACCGTGTTCAGGGTCCCGTTGTGATGGCCGCCGTGCATGCCCATCCTGAAAGAACCAAATAGTAACGAATAGGGTAGACGACTAATTTTTATTTTAATGTCCGTCTGATAGATTATTTAAAAACATTAGACACGTATTTTTTATTTTCTCACAGAAACAAATAGTTTCGAAGATATATTGATTTGAAATGTCGCGTGACGTCACTTCTCAGTACATTTTATACTAAGAAATGACGTTTTAACCCCCCACTCCTAAACTTTGATTCGTTTTATCTAAGTATTGTTTTATTATACGACAAAATAAAAAAATACGTGTCTAATATTTTTTCAATACCTAACTTACGGACTAATTATATTTTTAATTTTTATACCCTGGCATCATCCCCATTAATATCATTTCAATGTATTAATGTGTGGTTGGATGCGTAGAGCTGAAGACGGAGCTGAGTGGCGTGCCATTAGAGAGGCTTATGTCCAACAGTGGACGAAAACAGGCTGTTGATGATGATAATGATGAATGTGTGAACGAGCGAAGCCGCGGATAAAAGCTAGTCAAAAATAAATTATTTCGACTGTTCAATACAATAAAATATAAAAAAATAATCACGCTTTCATTAATTGAATTCATGACCAACTTAATTTTACAATTTTTTTTCAATCAAATTTTCAAGAAATAACTATGCTGTTTTACGCTAAAAAAACGTGACGTCACAATACACGATCTTGTACAAAATTCATAGAAATATGTCGTTTTTGATAGTTCGAAAAAAAAATTTTGACATCTTTATTTCTTTGTTTTTACTTTATACATCGAAAGTACTCCTTATGGCGAGTTGTTTTGCCGCGGGACGAAAACGAAATAGATTTCAAAATAAATTATTATTGAGGATTCATGTATTTCTATTTTATTAACAATTGTTATTAGATACAGTAAACTAAATTTGTATTAAAGTAAATAGTTACCTGGGTAGTGGCACTGGCGGTAGAGTGGGGTATCCTCCAAACATGGCCGATGACGGACGCGTTGCCA